TTTCAACACCATACTTAAGTTGAAGTACGGAAGTACTCCATTTTGTTTGTACTTAAGTATTGCAAGTAGAAGTATTTCAAAAATTGCTACTCAAGTATTGAAAGTACAAGTATAAGTAAAAGTACAAGTACTGTGTATATTTAAAAAAAGGCAGTCAGGCTTTGCTTGATGGTTCAAATCGTCCAATGAGGAGCCAGCTTCCCAAACCCTGACAGAGCTATCTATCATTACGTTTACATTTCAGTAACGAGTAACGATTCAGCCCGTGAAAAATCGATCGGAGTAAAAGTATTGAAATAATCAAAAATATGTAGAAAAAGTAGGGGAAAAAATATCTACTCCAATAAAGTACAGATACTGCATTTTGGTACTTAAGTAGTTCTACTTCGTTACTGAACATCTCTGATTTTAAGTCCCCCTCCGGTGGACGTGGACAGGGAAAATGGGGGGGAGATGGAGTGACTGGTTACCTGTCACGATGAATAGGGAGTGAACATGCCACTTAGGTGGGTTTTCTTTGTCTGCGTGAAAGACGATGAATTCAAATGAGCAAACGATGCTTTATGAATATTTGATTTAGCTCATGCTTAAGGTTGAACCTGTTTCCATTCATCTATTGTGTGTGCACCCATCAGGAACCAGCCTCCTGTGGAGCAACAGTTCTAACAACCACACCACAATATTATTCACCTCTGTAATGTCACATAGATAAAAAAAATAACATAAGATACAGTGGGGGAAATAAGTATTTGACCCCTTGCTGATTTTGCAGGTTTGCCCACTTACAAAGAATGCTTATTTTTCCTCATCAGATGGTTATCAATTTTTATAAATTCATATGATGTGATTTTCTGGAATTTTCTTTGGGATTCTGTCTTTCACTGTTAGAATGCACATATGATTAAAGTTATAGATCGTTGCATTCTTTGTAAGTGGGCAAACCTGCAAAATCAGCAAGGGGTCAAATACTTATTTCCCCCACTGTAACAAAATAGATGATTAACTTGATTGTTTGGCTTTCCCGATATATTTTCCCGTCTTTTTTGGTGAACTATTTCAAAGCCATTGGCCTTTTGTTTTCCATTAATCAGATGACGAGATGTGCAGCTGACTAAATGCAGAATTAAAATTTAAAAATATGCAGAAACCGGTGCGCAAAGCTTTTGGTTTCAAAAGAAAATGACAAGGATTGGACAAAGAATGAGAGAAACTGAGGAAATGAAAGAGATAAATAGGTGGCAGCTGAAGGCGGTTAGCACAGGTGAAGGGAATAAAGCAAATCTGGGGAAAAATGGGAACTATGGGTGAAGGACAAGGATCGAATAGAAAACCAATAACCAACGAGAGAAAAACAGACTAAGAACATGAAACAAAAGCAAGACATTTGAAAGAGAGAAGGCAAAATAAGCACACAAAACAAAAAAAACATCAAACCACGAGAAGAAATTAAACCCAAAAGCATAGGCCGAAAAAATAACCCCGAATCTGTGACCTCCACGTTGTGGCCGTTTAGGGGAGGATCTATAACGTAAAGTCAAAGCCTGTAGGTGTGATGGTGTTTTCTGGACCGAGTCTGCTGCGTTTCTGCTTCCTGAGCACAGACAGTGACATCTGGGAGCTCAGATAAGAGTTTAACTCGCTCGGCTTCGGGCACCAGCTGCCCTTCAGGTTCCTCCTGCTGTCTGTGGAGACGGGAAAAAACAAACTTTACATGGGAGCAACAAGCTGTGGTGGCTAAAAAAAGAAGCAGATTTTGCTATCTTTCATCAATAAGTCGAAAACAGAGAATTAAAGCTTCTGTGGTACAGCTATGTAAATGTACACCATTTTGTAAAGTTACAGAAGAACCAAATTTGAACAAGAGACAAACAACTAACCCACGCACGCACATATTCCTTAGCCCTTTAAAGCCCGATCCAAGAAGAAAAAAACAACAGAAAATTAGTTTTTTTTTTGTTTGAAGTCTTTATTTTCTGTCATTAACTTCAGAGTAGGTTCTCTGTTTGGAAAGCGCTGTGAGACAACTGTTGTTGTGATGTGGCGCTTTATAAATAAAATTGAAATTGAATTGAATTGAATTATTTCTTCTCATTGTAAGCCTCTGAGCGAAGGCTCCTCGTGGCCTTTGGTCGTCGAGCCTTTTCACACCAGCCTCGCATTTCTGTGCTGCAGAGGGAATAATTGCCCTCCTTGGTTTTTATACTTCAGCCTCATTGTGTTTTTAGGATTTTTCAAGAACATATCCTTTGATGTGGACATAAAATATCCATCTAAAACTGCTTACTAAGGAACTGGGACTGATTTTTTTCTAGAGCTTAACGGGACAAATTATTAAAAATTGATCATACTGGAAAGGATGAGTTTTGAGTCTAACAAAAAGAGAACCTCTGAGACTTTTAAAGCCGTTTCCTTGAGTCAGACTCTAAAAACCCGACTATTGAGTTAAAAGATGTCCTACTGGCCTCTATCCACTTCATGGATACCATGGAGAGAAATTGAAGAACCAAATCTCATTATAAGAGACTCCTGTTGAGAGTTTAGGAAGCAGGGAGAGTAGTTACACACTCCTTTAATTCAGTCCTTTGGTTTTTATATTTCAGCCTCATTGTGTTTTAAAGATGTTTCAAGAACATATCCTTTGATGTGGACATGAGGTAGCAATCTATAACTGCTTACTAAGGAACTTGGACTGATGTTTTTTCTAGAGCTTAACGGGACAAATTATTAAAAATTGATCATACTGGAAAGGATGAGTTTTGAGTCTAACAAAAAGAGAACCTCTGAGACTTTTAAAACCGTTTCCTTGAGTCAGACTCTAAAAACCCGACTATTGAGTTAAAAGACGTCCTACTGGCCTCTATCCACTTCTTGGATACCATGGAGAGAAATTGAACAACCGAATCTTATTATAAGAGACTCCTGTTGAGAGTTTAGGAAGCAGGGAGAGTAGTTACACATGACTATTGCAAAAGGAATCCTATAATTCAGTCATTTGGTTTTTATATTTCAGCCTCATTGTGTTTTAAACACACTCACTGTTCCCTCAGATTAATCTTTGCAAAATCTTGGATAGAGGATGACCCTCCTGGGCTTCCATCTGAATGCTAATGTCTAAGTGAAAAGCCTCTGCAGGTTCCTGTTGTCCTACCGTCACTCTGACATTGACCGTCCCTAATTCATTTGGGACTAGAACAGTGGGCTCATCTGGATTTGAAAGGTGATGCTTCTCATATATTTGGAGCCAGTGGCTAGCTAGTTGAGGAGGTACCTCGAGTTTAAACACAATGCTGCCTGGTTTGGTATTATTCTGTCCGGTTATTTTAAAGAGATCAACAACACTGGGATTAGCTGCAGCAGGGTGACTTTACGTTTCATCCTCAGTTAAAGCAGAATGAGGATAAATAAGGATGAATCTGTTATCTGTGAGTCTTAGGTCACAGCAGGTGATGTGTGACCGGTGCTTGGATGGGAAAAAATGTCAGGCTACCTTTTTTGTTAATTAACCTTCATTTATACTCAGCCTAAGAAGCTTGCACATCTACGCAAAGCACCTGAAAACATTCTTTATATTCATCATAGCTTAAAGACCATTTAAACCCACTTGGTTTTTGTCTAATTGAATAAAATCAAACTAAAAAAATGCCAACAGTAAACCCAGTGTTTCACCTGCATCCACAGCTGAAATAGCATGAAAGGACCAGAGAAAAAATAAATAAATATCCAATAAGCATAGACACTTTTTCTTTTTTGTAAAATCGGAACTTAAAAGTTTAATACACACAACGTTGAAACTGATCATTTGACTGCAACCATCCGCATAACAATCTCCATGAGCTGAAATGTTGACAATGACTCCCTGGTATAAACAAATAGCTTCTTAAAGGGGGGAGGGGGGTGATTCATGGAGCACGGATCAATGTCAGACAGTTCCTGGTCCTCTCAATGCTGCTTTTCCATCTCTGGGACTCAGACTCTTGGACTCAGACTCTGGGACTCAGACTCTGGGACTCAGACTCTGGGACT